CTGTTTGCTCTGGGTCTAAACAGCGCGTTGTGTGTGACGTCTTTTTTTGCGCATGCGGGCCGCTTTGAGGGTTCACACTAGAGCACATTTGCTGTCGCATTTTATTTGTAGTGTGAACAAGCAGACAAAAAAATTGAAATTGAGCATTAAGACCTGCAGTGTGGACGTAGCCTAAGAGACGTGTTTGGTTTTGCCTCATAAATCATTGTGTGTGTGTGTGTGGAGAGAGTTTTTCCAGAGGGTTAAATTGGGTGTTTTGCTAAAAAGTGATTCCAATGTTTCCATTTGTTTTGTTTTTTTTAATGTGTAATGTGTTTACTTAAATTGTCTAATAGACTTTAGTGAGCAGGATTTGCAAAGGGGTTATATACAAAGTGTAAAAGTGTCTTTATGACTTTGCATTATTGTACCAACATTATAACCAATCCACTCCTTTTTGGCCACTTGAAATATGTTTACAGCCAGCTCATGCTTAAAAAAATACATTTTTAAAGTCAGTGAGGTTTTTTTGGCTGGATAAACAAATGATATATAAAAGTCACTTTGCAAATAACATAATTCAGTTTTTGGCACCATCAGCTCTCCTTCACAGTTGAGTGACATCCAACTCTTAATCCATAGTGTATAATGAATTTGGCCCAGTCTCTAAAGCTCTAACAACCTCAATGCTTCTGCAGGGCTTTCCACAAACTTAATCATCCCAAAGGTGTTCTATTAGTTGAGGTCCTGGCTCTGCACATGCCAGTCAAGTTCTTCCACACCAAAATTGCTCATCATTGTCTTTATCGACCTTGTTTTGTGCACTGGTGCGCAGTAATGTTGTGACAGGAAGAAACCATGCCTAAAAATTGTCCACTAAGTTTGAGTCAGATAATTGTCCAAAACATCTCAACAAAAAGTCTCTACTTTCAAGGAGAAAATAAAACAGGAAGAGTTTTCAGCTCTGTCTGTCCTTTTTTATTTTTTTCTACTTTCAAGAGAAAATGTTATTTGCTCAAGTGACATCATCCTCACTATAAACCATTACTCACATTCTGTGTCACCACAAGAAAAGAAGAGCTAGGAAAACACATTAATTAATTACAGGTGATCTACTTCTTAGCAATTTTCATGACAAATTATTTTTTTCTTTTCCCTTGGTTATTCTCAGACACTTCTGGTGCGACTATCATGCAGGTGTTGAACTCCAGGCCTCGAGGGTCGGTATCCTGCAGGTTTTAGATGTGTCCTTGATCCAACACAGCTGATTTAAATGGCTAAATTACCTCCTCAACATGTCTCGAAGTTCTCCAGAGGCCTGG